ACAAGCTTGTGTTTTCTTTTTGTCTAACCATTTTTGCCCCAATATTTTGAGGCTGCTGCCCGCTGATCCAGTGTTCTGTTGGCTCAATCTTTGAGTGTGATAATCTCATCTCTTTATCTGTGTGTTCCCAGTTACAGCATCTTTCATTAAAACCAGTATTTCTCAACCTTGGCAACTTTACAATGAATGGACTTCAACTCCCAGAATTCCCCAACCAATTCTGTGCAGGGATAGATGATTAGAGATAAAGCTACTTCTGAGTTAACATAGAAACAGAGCTGAAAGTTCTCTGAAAATATCCCTGAGAATACCTACCTGTATTCTAGTAAATATCATGATCTGATCTGATCAGCAAATCCATTGAATATGTTCCGGTCCAGTTTTATCATGCTGATGCAAAGATTGTCTTCTTTTTTATTGCTCATGCACTTTTCCTTATTTTTACTTTTCACTTTTATTATGTGAACTCCTGAACTGAATGAGGACCCTTGTGCACATGGGGTTTCCAGATCCATAGCCCTTAAACACTGAACTCTTAACTGTCCTGCTTAAATTGCAAAGAATTGAAACTGAAAAAAACTACAATGCTTGGGCTACTTTTCAAATCCAGGTCAGCTCAGATCTCTGAAGAAGGACCTGATTTTTTCTGGTAGCCTGCTAAATGGGGAGAGAAAGGCTGGATTAGAAATAGAATAAACAAATAAGGGGGTGGAAGGAAAACAGAAAAGAATGAGGAGTGCTGTTTACTGCTACTTTTAGCCCTATCATAATTTTTTTTAAATGTGCCTTTGAGTCTGTGTTGATCCCTGGTGACTGCCTGGACAAATCCATGCAGTTTTCTTGGCAAGGTTTTTTGGCAACGTTTTGCTCTTGCTTCTCCTTCCCAGGGCTGAGAGGGAGGGGCTGGCCTGAGGTCACCCAGCTGGCTTTCTGCCTAAGGCAGGACTAGATCCTGGTCTCCCAGTCTCTAGCCTGGTGCTTTTAACCACTCCACCAAACTGACTGTATACCTCTTGTCATTAACATCCAACAAATTACCTAAGAGAAAATCCACAGGCGGCAAGACTGAAATTGACTAGATGGGATTATGAAATTGACTAACTCATGTATTTTGATTAGATTAAGTGAAATGGACTAGACATCAACTGGTCTGAAGGGAATCTGGTGGCATTTGTGGACTGATCTTGTAACTAGGATTACTTGTAAATATATTTAGATCTGTTTGTCCCCTGTGCCTACCCATGGCACAAACACATGGTCTGAAACATTTTTTCCTGCCAAATCTTCATAAGATTTCTTCCGTCTCATCTCCAGCCCATGAAAAAGGCAGCCTTAACTGTATTGGTGTTAAAATAACATTTCCTGCCTTACTCCAACACATCTAAGGGCAGCATCAAAGTATATGTAAATGCCAGTTTTACCAAATGACCTGGTACTTCCTAGATGCATGGCTACAAGAAGTTTGCAAAGAGTTTTACTTTGGAGCAGTGATGCAGCCCATAGACAAATGTTCTCTCTCCAAAATTTCTTGATGTGCAAAATGATGTCATTCTACTAGAAATGGGAGTTTAAACTTGCACATGGATCAAGCTTTGCCCACGCGCACTTAACCATGGCACAAGTATGGCCTGGCAACATCTTTTTTCTTCCACAAGTAGGACAGCCTTACAGTGTTCTTAGTGGGAGTGGTGCTAAATCGCCTTTCCCTTTCTTCTGACACCATCCCTGGCAGCCTCAAGGGCTGTGAAATCTCTGAAGCGTTGTCCTCACCGTTTACCTTGGAAGTCAGGGGTGCCTGGGAGCAGAAGCAATTGAGGCAGGAAAGCAATCAGCCGAGAGGGCAACCAATCTCAAACAATAGTTTTCTCCTGACTCAACGATGGGTGAAGGCTGTTTTCACATGAAAGTGGGGGAAAGCCCTTAGCTAGAGTCCTCTGATCTTACGCTGCAGGAACTTTTTAAAAAAATGTTTACTTTAAAATTCAGTGGAATAGCACATTAGGCTCCTTGAACCATAGATGGTCAGAGAGAGTTCTGCTTGTAGCTTATAGCAAAACAAAACAAGCATCTCTTTTGGTCTCCTATCAGGAAGTCATTCCCTGAAATCTCAGCAGATTGCTAGGTAGCCCTTCCGTCTAAAGCTCTCAATAAGAAGGGACAAGATCAACCTAACTGGGAACAAGGCAACCTAAATCCTGTAATATGTTCGTTGAATGCAGTGAGGAAGGTTTTTGCTCTCTAGATGGAATTGGTACCTTGGTTCTCCGCCAACCTCTTCTCCTTCTTTGTCCTTCTGGCTTATAGTGAATTTGACTGGACCAAGATTGACACTGCCTATTTGCCAGAGTCCTACAAGACCAATTCACCCAAGGAGCAGATGCTTCTGCAAGTGGCTGATAATTTTCATCGGCAGTACGCACACCTTTGCCCGGACCGTGAGCCCCTCTTCCTTCACCCTGTCAATGAATGTGGTATGGAAGTAAGTAGGGCAAAGGGTCTAGAAATGAGCATATGTTGGAAGATGGCAAGTTTCCCCAAGAATCTGGAAGCTGCCATTTGATCAACAGGCTGAGAATTGTCTGCTAGAGACGGTTACACCTGTGTGGAATCCCAGAGTAATTTCCAGGTAGAAGAAATGGCTGTTAAACCAGTTTATGATGGCCAATTTTCCACTTTAACCACAGCACAAGCAGCATCTTCCCACTCAGTCCCATCATTTGCCCTTATCACCCATTAACGTAGAGACCAATCAGAGGTGTGACCAGAAGTGTATCTGGGGAGTGTGGGAGACATACCCATTTTGGGGGGACCACTATCCACTGCCCACAAGTCAGCTATTTTCAAAACTGTTGCCTCCTCATCTCTGTTTGTGACCCAATTTTTAACAAGCTGATTTACCAGCTTTTAATAAAGTAGAGGAGAACAAACTCCCACTATTTCCTTTGGGGAAGAAGAAAAGGGCATGTTTGTGCTTACAGTATTTGTCTTCAAAGGTCTCAATTGCTCCCCTGCCCCCAACTTCCAATGTTGTAAGAGAAACAGTTGTCATCTAGCAGATAATCTAGCAGAGGTAAGTTCCTCTGCTCTACAGGTTGCAAAGTCCTGGTGGGATATTCCTCCCTGCTCTCAGGGGCTATTTCTGCCCTCATCTCTTCCCACACGATTTGAAATGCATAAATGGGTTGAGAAGGAGGAGCAGGCAAAGAACCTAGCGAGGCCCTAGCAGAGTCCGGAAATCAGATCCTTCCCACTCCCTGACTGATGGAGGTTGGTGACATGTTGAAAGAGGGTGACCATAAAGCTGGGGAGGGGGAGAACCAATCACCTTGCCTACAAGGAGAGGCTTATATACTAGTTGGGATAAGAACATTTAGCCATGATTCCAAACAGACATTCAAGCCAGGATGGAGATCTTCAATGGGGACCACAAATGAAGCTGTGGTGGACCCACGCATGGCACTTAGTTGTACTGATAGCCTTCAGGTTGTATCCAACCCATGAATGACACCTTTCTGGGTTGGTTTGGATGCCCAGATAGCCAGCTTGGGTCCCTGAATCCCACCCCCAAATTCCTGTAGTGAAGAAGTGAGGTGCAAAGAGCGTGATGTCCCTGTGATACTTTTTCCTAGGAGCCCACATTTCATCAGGGTTGGGGAAGAAGGAAAGAGAAATTCCCCTCTCTCTCCCTTCTTCCAGGAGTCTTTGCAAAAACAACCCCCCCCTTTTTTTACTCCAGCTTTGTGTAGGGGTGTGTGTACGCTTATGTGTATTGCCCGTGTGTATCTTGACACATGCCAAACTCTATCGCTTAGGAAGGCTTCTTGAGGAGAGCCAGCGTAGGTCTGGCTTTAAAGAAAGGGAAATGGAGGAAATGCTGAGAATTTTTATGAAGCAATCAGAGTACTACATTTCCAGGGATTCTCTGAGGCAGTTTTCTCAGAAAACTGCAGAGAAAAAAATAGTGTGGTTATAATGCATACCATGATCCTTCACTGTTTGTCCTCTACTTCTTTATTTGTAAAGTTCTCTCCATTTGTTTTTTTAAAGCAGAACATTGTTGAATCTTTGAAAGGACAACTTTTGTATCTGCTTATCTGTAGGACAAAGCGGGTGGCCTCCCAGCTGCAAAAATATAATTGTGTTAAAATTGCCTGCAAAGATCCTGTCTGGCATTATCTGGTCCTGATTTACAGAAAATCTGTAAATTCCTTCCTGGGATGGATTTCTGCATGTCACTTGCAAAGTCTGCTCGTCCTTTTTTGTGGGGGGAGCAAATTTTATTTATTTATTTGTCAAATTTATACAGCCACCCAGCTCACAAACAAGTGACTCTAGGCGGCATACAAGAAAGCTAAAAAAACAATTAGTATTTACAGAACAGTTATTAATGTTATTATTAAAAGCTTTAAAATTATAAAAAGCATAAAACTAAAATAAAAAATAAATATTGGGCAAAGAACAGGTGTTAATAACAGTGGAGCCACCTCAATATTTCGCCAGTCACCTGGGGTCCCCAGGCTGGATGGCCCAACCAGGACTTGAGGGACTTCCAGGAAATCAAAAAGATGAAGCCAGCCTTACTTCAGGGGGGAGAATATTCCATAAAGCGTGTGCCACAGCAAACAGTATATATACAGTTAGTCCTCAGTTTAAGAACGAGTTCTGTTCCCAAGGTATGTCCCTAAGTCAAATTTGTATGTAAGCCAGAATGGTACTATTGTATAATACTATATAAGTAGTATTATGTAATGAACTCAAACCATTGTGTATTTAACTCGAATCACTGTGTATTTAATTCAAATTTTGCTACAGTAGGCTCTGTTCTTAACTATGGTTGTCTGTTACCTGGGGACTATCTGTACTTCAAATAGCAAACAGTAGCTGGCAAACATATTTTAAAAATATAATTTTTAGATGTCATGAGTTTTTTTTTTTTAAATGAGCTTAATTATTTTACAGAGTATCTAGAATGTTATATTGACCTATAAAAACAGGAGCATTTCACTGAGTGGTTAACTTGCTTATCCAGAAACTCATAGGAAATTAGAAAGTTGAAACAGGTTTTTAAAAATCTTTTTTTTAAAAAAAAAATTACAACAAAGCATGTCACTATATTGCAAGACAATAATGATTAATGCAATCAATTTTCAAAAACAAAAGATTAAAAAAACCTCATTAACTTTACCAATGTCTAAATTCAGGGTTCGGTTGGGATTTTGGAGACATTTATCTTTTTTCAGCCATGAAGAGACATAGGCTTTTGTAGCACATCTGAGAATGTTTTGTTTATATGTTTCAGTGCATAATATGGAAATGCCAGAACTTTTAGGAGTTGAAATCTCAATTCAGTTGATATGGGATTATATTTCTGATGAGGTTAGAGTCCTGGTTGGTTGATTTATATTTTCACACTGCTTGTAAAAACAACCCAATGGCTTTTTGTTCCAGAAATTTGTAAGCACCACTGTCCGGCCAACTCTGCTCCCCTACTCAGAATTATACAACTGGGATAACGCTGCCTGTTTTGTTTCTGATTATCTCACTATGGAGCCTCTTCCGTCTCCAATTGCACCGGTAAGAAGTAGGACATTTACAGGTGATCTGAGTGTTTCATGGGGGAGCCGATGCAAAGAAGAACTCGAGGTTGTGCAGATAGGGTGCTAAAGATGTCCACCACGTGAAACCCATGAACCTGGTTGAGACTGCAATTCCCAGAATTCCCTTCTGGGCCAGCACGGAATTCTGGGATTAGCAGTTCAAGTACATTGGGAACGTACTAGATTCTAATTTGGTCAGGGGGAAAAAATGATAAAGACTTTCTTAAAAGAGTAGACGCCTTATATGGACTTTTTGCTGAGAGAAGAAAAGACAGAACTGGTGATTTATGGATTTGGGGATTAGAAAGGGTTAAAGAGGGAGGGAAAAGATGAAGATGGCAATTATACAATAGAAAAAAGGGCAGAGGTCAAAATTCTAAGTTTTCTTTCTTTTTTTCGCTTTTCTTTTTTCTAATTCTTTTCTTTTTCTTATTTTTCTTTTCATTTTTATACTTTTATTGTATTGTAAAATTCTAATAAAAATATTTTTAAAGGGGGAACATACCAGATTGAGGAAATCTGTCTTAAACACTAGTAAGAATATTATCTGAATATTGTCAAATGAGCATCCCATATTACAGAGAGGAGAAGGGTGGGTGCTGGAACAATTAAACCTTGCCTAAAATCCCTGAATGAGTTCTTGCTAGAAACAAGATTTGAACTGGTATCTTGCTAGTTTAAAGACCACTGTCTTAGGTACTGCTAAGCCACAGCAGCTCTCAGAGTTTTCTGTGGTCCTCATATAGCTTCTCTCTCTCCGTGAATGAAATACTGCGTTGCTGGGGGAAAGTATCACTCCCAAGAACCCCCACCCATTCAGGGCTCTCTTGAGAAGTCTGTTATGCTGGGAAAGGTGGAAGGAGAGAGAAGAAGAGGATGACCAGCAGCAAGGGGGATGGACTCAGTTGCAGTGGTGATGGGGGCACCGTTACAAGACCTGAAGGACCAGGATAAGGGCCGATTGTCTTGGGGAAGGTCTATCTATGTGGCCGCTACAAGTTGACACCGAATCGATGGCACAAAATCAATCCACCAGTCAATCGGTCATATTCTTTCCTTTTTTACGTATATATTTTTTTATTCAAGAAGTTTCCAACAGAATAAAAACAATACAAATTTTGAAGAGAAAAGGAATAGGGAAAAGTAGTAAGAAAGTGAAAAAGGAATAAAGCCAAAGAAATAGAAAAGAAAGAAAAAAGATACAAAGAAGTGGCTTCTGACCTGCTTACCAGCAGTTCTATTTTACCCTCTCTGTCTAAGGCAGTGTTGTCCAAACTTGGCCGCTTTAAGATGAGTGGACTTCACCTCCCAGAATTC